CGAACATCCTTATCCCTAGAATTAACTTATGCGTCACTTCGCTTAGGCCGTTCCCCTAACCGCCACCTGGGTACGCGCGTGGTAAGGTGCCACCCCTCAGATTCCCAATAGTGGGGCCTATTTTTTTTATAACGTAACGTGCGGCTAATCGGCTATCAGCAGTAATTTCTAAAAGTTGGCTAGAGTTTGATGAGCACTTTGAGTAAAAAAAAAACTTCCAAAGCCCTTATTTTAACGGTAAGTGATGGAATGAATGACACCATTTCTGTTTCTGTTGCATGAGCTGAACCGTTTAGGTATGTATCTTTCCATCTGATTAAATTTAATAACAAAAACAACGGTTTGATTGTTTGTAACTTGTAACTTGACATAAAAGAACTGACATAGAATAGAATATTTACATTAGCCTGAATTCATGTATGAAATAAAGCTTTCCGAGTGAATGCAATTTCTCATTTCGTATTCGAATTTTGCGGTCTTATCTCTTAGTGCCAGTATACGCCGTCTATATTATTCCCTATTCTATCGGGATGAACATTGAGTGGAAGCGAAGTTTTCGCGACTGATCTTTTATGCACATCTGTTTTTCCTGAAGGAGAAAGGGAAAGAAATTATATTAAAATGTAATCGGTGGAACGTCAAAAGGAATGTCGTGCTCCTGTTGTACTATCCTAACGTCAGTTCGAGATAACGCCAACTCAATGATTCCAATTTCGCATCGTGAAAACTTTGCAGATAAACGCGTTTTAGTGAATGGCCGGTCTCGGGCGGCATTAAAACTTTTTATCAGCGTGTGGGACGTTTACACGTTAACGTACAGGTTAATTACGGTCCAGATCGATATTTACCCAACATTACTTTGTAACAAGATGGTGCTACACCACATAATGTTTTACGTGAATCGTATTTCTTGAACGGCCCCGATACAGCGATTTAATTGGCAGTCAGCAGATCCACTAATAGAATAATGCCTGTAAATCTTAGACGTTATCAACTATTATGGCTCGGCGATAGTATAAATGTATCTTGAATTGACCGCTCAAGTACCAAAGTTTAATGTTTCTGAAACAGTTACAGTGCGGAAACCTTAAGTTTTACAAGCCAAACTTACGCTTATATAGCTTCGGGCGGAGAGAACTTGTATAACCCGGTAATGAATTGAAGCAGATAAAGAATAGTTAATTGTTTCGCCACTAGCATCGAAATGCAGTTTAGTCTCTGCTGCATAACAGGTAAATTTCGTAGCAGCCGGTGTGCAGAGGAGATCGTCTTGGGAATAATAACGACAGAGGATTTTGGTGCAAAGTGGTGACTGCTGCAGGTTTTAGTATTGGACATAGCAGCGGGGATTTGCCGCATAAATGTCGTTGTAGTGACCAAATTGAAATTCACAGTAGAATTCCTTCGGTGATTGTCTTCGCCAACTTTTCTACGATTTACGTTATTTCTTCTCTCCCTAATAACATGACGTTTACCTCGCCGACTCTTCCAATAACTTTCGATCGGTTTTTTTTTGTTATGAGCGGACGCGGAAGGAACATTCATTAAATTAAGTATGAATTAGTCGGTAATAGGTGTAAAAGCAAGCCACATGGTGAACATTCTCGTTGTTTATGGTTGTTCGTTATATTAAATTCTGGATTCGTATTTTCTAACAGACCATTAAGGGCACGTGCAAGGAATATAAAGGAAGTTAATCGAAGTGCTTAGATGTGCTATAGGATTTCCTTAAAATAATGGTGGAAAACGTAGGCAGAAAACTTTAATCCGAGAATGTTTACAATGCCTAACGAGTATTTCTGTATCTTTTACATCAAACATTTAGATAACACAGCGGGTTGAAACAACCACCGTTTATAATTTTCGAAAACGTTAAGGTCGATCATTTTCTTTCAAAATCCTTCCTTTTGTCATGTGTAGTTAAACGGATTCCTAGAGACCATTTCCGAATAATTTACCGTATACATTTTTTCACCGAATCTAAACGTTTTACCCAAAATTCAATTGGCCTATTTTTTTTTCAAAAACTGCAATTTTTCCCCAGTTAATTCCGACGCTTAAAATCGCCACTTTAATTTCCACATTTTCATTGGAATCCGTCGGGGCGTACAATACAATTTTCGTGCAAACTCGAAGTTTATTAAGATTTTTGTTTACATCCGCTTTTTAAAAGAGGATTGAAAATAATCGCGTTTACGTAAAAGGGGTGTAAAGCAATTGTGTTGACACAAATTGAGGGCTACTTTTTTAATTACGCTAAAATGTTTCTAACAATTTGTTTTAGTTGAAAACCGTGTTAAAAAACATTTCAATTTTTATAATGGCTCCCGGCGGCCCGGAATGAAATTTAGTGTTCGCTAAACACAAAAGACATTTAGATGGTAAAGTATGTTGAAACTTTTTTCTGGGACATCATTAAGCAAAGTATTAAATTACATCGCTAATACTTGGCCGCCCTCCCGAAATATCCTCGGGCTAACTCAGAACCTATCAAAACTTCCGTTAACCCTTTGTTATCCGGGGTGTTAGAAACTTATTATGATTAATGATCTATTTATTCTAATCTCGATTTAGCTTGCGTGCACGCTTTGCGAGAAAAACAATTAAGAATTAGGGAATGTTTTGAAAAAATCGATCGATGCTGTCATGTTTTAGATTTATTCGCGAAAAAAACGAAAGGAAACCAGAAATACCGTTTTTCCTGAAATAAATCTTTTAACTTCAGATTCATACCAATTTTGGTACTCATTACGCGTGAAGAAACTTACAAAATAATTGTTTACTGACAACATTATGTGTTTAATTACAGTTTAGATTTGCCTGTTCGATATTAAAATGGAAACTTTCTCAGCAATTTAACCGATTCACTCTTAGTTGGAATATACTTCGTGTTTCTTTTGCATTCAGTAGACAAAATCGATTTCGGAAATTCGCCACCGATTTCCCCTGTTAGAATACTCGCCCCTCGCCGGTTAAGAACTTGCTCCAAAGAGAAATTAACGTCCAGAAAATGTCGATCGCAGATATTGAGATTGAAAACCTTCGCCGATGGTGCATTCAATTTTAAAGTTTTCCTATGACCACATTCACTGTAGGAAATTCATCTCCAAAAGTGTCCAAGTCCAAAGTCACGTCTAGAACGTTTCCAACCCAAGAAAATTGTTCTCTGCGCATCATGTGCAGTATTAGAATGTTTTCTGTAATTGCAAAAATGTTCATAACTTTGCTGTCTCACTTCATTTCACGTCATTGTTTGCACCTTAAATTCTCCCTAAAAACAGATTGCAATGGTGATGACGCGCCCCTCTAAATGTTGCTCATGGTCTCTCATCTTTATTATTTTCTTGGCGTGACCTCGAATTAGTGCAAAAGTTTTTTCAATGGGAAAAAATCTCCATCACCTAGAAGCAGAAAAGGTTCAGACCAGGGATTTTTGCTCAGTTAATTTAGCGAAATTCACAGAATCATCACTTTATTAGATTCAAGTAAAGTCACTGGATATAGAAAGTACCGCAATCATCCGCCATTTTTGGTCAAATTTCCTGCCAACTTAAAAAAATTGACAAATAAAATCTGAATAGCTGTCATTTTTTATAACCTAACTTCATAGTACTGTCATGTTTTATAAAAATATATACAGATATCTCCAAACAGGTGGAACAATCCCTAACATTAAAGTTACTAGAATCTGGTAACTTCCGCCATTTTTGGTCAAAAATTATGCGTTCTCTCTCTAACACACGAGCCCAATGGATTGCGGAACTTTCTATATTAGTGACTTTAAATTCAAGATTGCAGTTGCGCTCCCTAGCGGCCATTTTAGAAATTCGAAAATGGTTTCCACGTTGGCCGTTTTAGTAATAGCTTTTTTTTTGCCGCAAGCCTCTACGATGCATAGGTCCCCAGATACAGTACCTCGCATTCTTAGTTGGCCAACCTGTACATACCTCCATTTTTCCTTTCAGCAATTCCTGCGCGATTTTAATTATTGTACTGTAATAAGTTTATGTATTAAAAGTAAAGATTACGCTTGCAACTTTGAGTGAAGGTGCACATAAAATAAGTTTGTTAAGCCAAGTGTGCGTCTTTCAAGTTCTCAAACAGTAATAATCTTCTTATTGTTGTGAGAGTTTAATTACAAACAGTGGCTCGGTATCAACAAACTTCTCAAGTTTAGAAATGTTTTTCTTGAAATTGTTTGTGCCATTCGAGTGCCTTGTCTTAAACAGACAGCAATTAGTGCAATGTATCAATTTGCGGACGATTTCACACAGAACATGTAACTGCCAATGGCAAAGAACACCTAAAATATTAAACAGTGCAACGTTGCGGTTTACAAGATTAGGTAACACAACCCTCCGGAGACCGATACCTACGTCTCGAGACACCTGATACATTATCTACACGTGACAGTTCACTTGATTAACGGTTTCACACATGCCGAACATTTCACCTTTCGTCGGGCTTCAATAAGAAGCAGAAACATGTTAATAAGCACTTAACGTTACATCTCAACAACGTCTTGCTGGTGGGAAAATGGGAATTTAGTGCTCTCCCTTACGAACGGAATTAAGAGTGCGAGAGTAAAAAGGTCTCCTCGAGAAGCGTCTAATTTGTTCAACTACTTCGTGTGTAATGGCGTTACAAAGAGCACATTTCCATTTAGTAAAAAGATAAAAATGTCAAATTAAATTTATTCTTAATCGCGTTGGCCGACGTGCATTTTGCGACGTACAGCTTTTCGGCTTTTGAAACAATGGAAATGAACCTGATTTAAATGGTACAGTGATGGCATTTTCTCATTCTAAAAAGAGAACGCCACGAAGTTTGCATTTACTAAACGTCACGTAGATATTCTGTAAGAATTACGCGTTTAACCGCTTAATCAATATCCGGCAGCGAAAGATAAACGCCCAATTTTGATTGCAAAATCATGTCATTCTACGCTCTAAACCCATTTCGTGAGGTGTGCGGAAAAATACAATTTCGCATGGACTTACCTTGATACGCCAACAGCGAGTTGACTAGCAGCGCTAGAACGCCGAGAATAGCAGATTTACTCTTCTTTGTGAGCCACATTTCGCTTATCAACGTAAACCACCTGCAGTTATCTAATTGTCGCTACGTCACATTTTACAGTCGAAAGTCAAGGATTCGTCCACATTTTCGCACCACCCGCACACCCTCCGGCAAATTCGACTGCGCCCTGTTTTTCTGGGGCTTTGTTTGCGGTCGAGGTTTTCGGAATAAATCAACGTAACAAGTGGTCTTTGATGTATGCGTAAATCACGTACGCCTCTGAAAAATGAGAAGAGAACTTATATTAGTTTTTTTCGTTGTTGCTCGTATACGCAAAACGGCCGTCGGAAAAAATTTGCCAAAATTTTTCTTTCGGTCTCTAATTAGATAACTTCGGAACTTTGACCGCCCCAATCTTTTATGGATTAGTTCGATTATCAAACAATTCATGTTCGACCAACAATGTTGTTTGCAGGGGGAGTCGAGCGTGTATACCAAAGGCGAGATTTAATTTAATAATTAATTTCGTTTGATGGTTTAAAGGATTGAAATTGTTTTGAAACTGTGCGTACAGACCCTTAAATTAAATAATTACACTGATGATGATGGGGCGTTTTATTAAATATAATCCTTGGAAACGTATATTTTACAATTTTTGGGTTTCTTTGTGTTTGTTCTAACTAAAATTTAATTAAAATCGGAATACTAATGATGTATTCTTAATTAGAAACGTCGCAATTTGTTCAGGTGAGGAGAAAGAAATCTGCCCATCGATTAACCTACATTTTTCCGACGTTTTCGCGAGTCCAAAATTAGCATATCGCCTCTCGAAAAGTGCACTTTGATAGGATATGCGGGATATTTAACAAAATTACGAGGTGTAAATTTTAATAAATGACAGTTACGGCAACGTACCGCTGTAAACAAAGGTTCGACCTAAAGCCCACCGTTTCTCAATTTAGAATTAATTGTAATTTACCCCCCCGAAAGTAAATAAAACTGTCTACGGAGAGAGAAGGAGAGTCGGGTGGGAAACGTGTTGTGCAAATTAAATTCAAAGTAAATCAAAGCTTCGCTATGACGCTGGAAAAACCTCGAGCGCGCCCCGTTTTTGTACCGCAATCTTTTTATGTTCCATTTTAATGAAGTCTTCTCTAATTACAATATCGCGAATAAACTTCTTTTCGGTAGTACACTATCGCGGTACTACTTTAGCCTGTTTCGTCACCGCCGCCGCCGCTTTTAATGAATTCGTTAATTTCCGTCGAGACGCCATGAATAATAAAGTCACGAATGTAATACGATTCGAGGTTCAACAAATTGATGGAATTAGTATTAACCCTCCATAACAATTTCGCCACAGTTAAGCTTGTTAAACTGAGCTTTAGTTTAATGCGAGTCACCCGAAGGCCTCCCAAATTATAACATGCAAAAGCATAATTGATACTAGTGTAGCATTAGAAGTTATCGGTCGACAAACGGAAACTGTTCTCGTAATAAAAAGTAACACGTAAAAATCGCGCAAGGGTAACATAGGTGGATGGAAATTGGGCTTACAAGATATAACGTCTCCTGTTCCACTGAGAACAGCAAATAAAACTGTAATTTAAAGGTTTGCAGAGCTCTCTGGCGTTTTTTCAGAGCCGTCTCTAGTTCTGAAGAAATGTTAGAGGAATCATCCAAATTATAATTAATTTAAAATCTAACCGCACCACGGTTGTACACCTGACCAGTATTTTCGCCTGGAAAATCCCAGAGCACGGCCTTGCAAGGTCACTCTTATGCAACTGGGAAACCCTCGTTACCAAGGTCACGACTTTTTCGCCGAGGTAATCTCAGGAAACGATCTGGCACCCCAAAACCAGGTCACGACCCAAACCGCAAGTGGGGAGGGTGACTGCAAATAATGACCTTGGAAAGTACTTTGCGCCTTGAACTTTACTCAGCGATTATAAAGTATCGAAAAATATTGTCATAGATAGCGTATGCCGAGCACTCATAACCAAAGGAAGCGATATTTTAAATCAACTAAATTCGGGTGCCGTCAAAGTTATCTAACTTCCTGACGAAGAAGTTCAAAAGTTGCTCATCGTTCAAAGTCCAAAGGTTGCTCGCCGTGCAAAGTTCAAAGACTTGTCAACGTTCAAAGTGCAAAGGTCGCTGTTCAAGATCCCTTGGCAAAATCGTTCTTTTTGCTTGAATCCCGATATTTGCGGGTTCCCGCAAAATTTTAAATAAATTGGCAACTAAGCAATTCTGTGCGGTTAAATTCTGCATTAAAATAAGTCGCTAATTATCACAATATTTAACAAAAAAGTACCTTCGGCCTAACTTAGGACTCAAAAAAACCTCACCTGTGAGCACAAAAAGGTGAACTTCTAAAGTGCCTCAAAAATCATAGTACATTTTTAACGAAAAAAGTTTAACAATTATATGAAAAATAACTTCTCCGTTATGCGTTTCATTAACAAAGTAAACAGAGTCGTCCACTTGGTCGACAAATTCCTCAGTCCCGCCAATCCCGCGGGATCCCGCTCCATTTATGTGCGGGATTAATTCCGCAAAAATGCTGCGGGATCCCGGTATTTCGGGATCCCGGGATCCCGGTATTGCATTCACTAAATGAGACCCGTAGAATAAATAATTTCAAACAGTTCCAAGATTGGGCTACTATTTCGAAAGTTACAGCCCTTTGAATTTTTTTTCGAATTTGATGGTTTCTAGTCTAACTTTTGATTGAGAAGTCTGATCGAAAAAGTACGAATTGTTTTGGATTCTACGCATCAAAATGAATAAGAAAAAGTGTTTTCCCGAGAAATTTTGGTGCAGTCCATTTTTGGTAAAAAAGGAAGGTAATACACTGCCTTTTTTTGAGCGACGAAAAAAAAATTGTTTCAGATCGATCCAGAAAAAAAAATTTCTTGTAGAATGTGGCCTGTAGAATCCATAATTTCAAACAGTTCCAAGATTGGGCTACTATTTCAAAAGTTACAGCCCTTTGAATTTTTTTTCGAAATTGGTTTCTAGTCTATAACTTTTGATTGAGAAGTCTGATCGAAAAAGTACGAATTGTTTTGGATTCTACGCACCAAAATTAATAAGAAAAAGTGTTTTCCCGAGAAATTTTGGTGCAGTCGATTTTTGGAAAAAAGGAAGGTTATACACTGCCGTTTTTTTGCCTCGAAAAAAAATTGTCTCTGATCGACCCGGAAAAAAAATTTTCTTATAGAATGTGGCCCGTAGAATCCATAATTTCAAACAGTTCTAAGATTGGGCTACTAGTTCAAAAGTTACGGCCCTTTGAATTTTTTTTCGAAATTGGTTTCTAGTCTAACTTTTGATTGAGCAGTCTGATTGAAAAAGTACGAATTGTTTTGGATGCTACGCACCAAAATTAATAAGAAAAAGTGTTTTCCCGAGAAATTTTGGTGCATTCGATTTTTGGTAAAGAAGGAAGGTTATATGCCTTTTTTTGAGCCCCGAAAAAAAAAGCCTCAGATCGACCGGGAAAAAAATTTTCTTATAGAATGTGTACGTACTATTTGATAAAACTGAGAACAAATTTTAGTGCGTAATCAATGCTAAATATACTTCCGGTATAAATGGATCACTTGTTATTCATATGGTAATGCCCTTGATTAATGAAGACCCCCGTCTATCGATGATATAGAGGAAACAATAAACCGAAATCCTCAATTCTCGACGGTCGGGTTGTTAGATATGCCCAGAATAAACGGGATTATTACAAAACAAAGAGACACTTCATCTACATACATAAAACGCGTTCCACTTTGAAAGTGGCGCGCATCCGCCTTAAAGTAAATTTTCGAAAATTGATTGATTACAGCGGCGGCGTAAGGACGAGTGTGTGTGAAGAGCGTCGCGGTTGCATTGTAACGTCGCTTCGAAATTTCCATCATTAATATTGTAATGAATACCAACATCAAGATAATTGAGTACATCTACTCCGATGTCTCGGTAATAATGATACTGACAGGACGAGGCGCTTCGTTAGAATCTTAGAGGAGACGAATTAGCGTTACCTACCTCCCGAAAATTCATAAACTCCGGCAACTCTAAAATTAATTAGTAAGTCTTTTTTTCTGTTCGTTTCGATGTTTCGTTTAACTTCATTAATTAAGAGCGAGTACAAGAAAAGAAATTAATTTTACAACTCATCTCCAGGGGCGATTTTCTTTGTAACTGCTATACTCGCTCCTTCAGCTTAGTTAAATATTACCACGCCACTGACGAAATGGAACATTCCCGCTTTTCTTCTTTGAGATGAATTAAAAATACAGGCAGCTCCATCGTTACGGTAAATTAACTCGTTACCAGTTTGACGTCTGGACAGCAGCCTAGGGAAGCCAATTTCAAAATCCTTACAGCGTTGTTAATTGGTAGGTATTGGACTACGACATTCCAATTATTAATATTCTGCTCCCTTGATTAAATGCATGACTTTTATAATTTGGTTTAGCGCCCATTTCTTCCCTGAAGGCATCCTAAGGCAGTTTGTTTCTTTCGACAGGAATTTTTTCACAATGATAAGCCTTTGGAACCTCTTTCCTCAGAGGAATCAAACAAGGTACAAACCTTTACTTCGCTCGTTCATCCTGATCAGTGCTTGTTTAAAATGAGCCCCACACAGGCTGTCCTTACCAGATCTACATCGACTTCATAATGTTCTGAAGAATAACGTAATGGTCGTAATGTACCTGCACGTCAAAGTATAATTGCTTATAAATTTAACGAGAAGGCATTCAACCGTCAACAACAATGCCATTATGAAGTGGCTATACTTGACAATCGCGTTATTAAATGTTAAACGTTCTCGAGTGTACTTTATATGCTCGCCTTCCTCTAATTGAAAGTGCAACACATCTCATCTACGGCTGAAATATTGCAACATCTTCTATCTAGAACATTAAGAGCAGTAATGATTCTCCAAGTTATGAATTGTTCGGTGAAGTTGGTAGATTATAAAGTAGGAAAACAAACGGCACTCAAACTAAACCTTACGCTGCAACGATTCTTAACTTGGGCGCTCTTCTTATTTATGGGTCACAATCGCATTAACTTTATAATTACTTCAATCCCCTTTTAATCAGGCTATTGCGTTAAAAATGAAATTCAAAAACATGTTCAATACTTCATTTCTACTCGATTAACGCTCTCATTCAACCAATACTCGAAAATTAACTTGCAGCGCTCCCTCGAAAGCGGCGTCGGGTTACTGAATTTTTTATTTCGTAAAACAGTAATTTACATGGCTGGTTCAACAAGCTAATTAAATGAAGCATTTATGCACGGCGTGATCTGTGAATTTACGTTTAAAAAAGCCTAACGTATCGTTATTTATCAACCGTCAACGCAATTACCGAGACCCCACGGAAAATAACTGCATTTGCTTTGTCTCTCTGTTATCGGAGAGGTCCAACTTAAACGTACTCTATCAATCCCCATTTAACCTTTAATAACGTTCTTTTTCTGACCGCCCTTTTTATTTTTCTTATCAAACGACTCTTGATGACGGCATTTATTTGCGAGGTCGGAGTTATATGGGCGGCCGTACGAGTTAGTCGCGTCAGAGTATGCCTCCTTGAAATGAAAATTTATGGAAGGAGTTGCCGCAAATTTGTATATATGAGGTGGCTCGCGAGTTCGATACGATTTATTTCGAAATCCTTTCGTTTTTCATAACGCCACGTAAATTTTGATCTAGCTATCAACAGCCTGCTACGGACTCGCCGCAAGTGATTTAGTACCTACCTCTTGTTTAGTTGTTTTCGTGAGAGACAAGTTATTTTTATTTAAATGATCTCTTTAAGAAGTAAGTTATTTCCAGTAAGTAGTTTAAGTAATAAAATATGCGCGAGCAGACCAATGATAGGTGTAAAAACCGACGTCGATTTTGTAATTCTTTGGGATCACCGAGTCCACTTTTTTGGTTTTTATATTTCTAGGATACGGACGTACAATGGTTATGTACAGTACAATGCAGGAATGATTGCCTGGATAGCGAAATTACATTTATTCACTAAAAAATGGAAATACTTTTTAAATGGACGTGACAATTTAATTTAACAGTATCATATTTCTAACGCGCCGCTGCGCAGCGAACCATGCACGAAAAAGAATAACGTCAAATATTCTAAGCGTTTATAAAGGCGTCTACCATTACCCTCGCACAACATCGCTAAGGTATCGCCAAGAATAGGCCGTAAAGGGGCCGTTGTACTCCGAATATGAGAGCGTCAAGTTGAATCACGGCGGAAAATCGTTGCCATCTTACAACCGTTTTCAGGTTGTCTAGTGCACTATTTAATCATAGTAAAGCACGAAACGTTCGGTTGAAGCAAAATCAAACATTTCGAAACAACGTTTACTTTTAGCTCGAGCTCTTAGACTGATTGTAAACAAACTTCCTGCGAATTGTTGCTTTGATTTAGAATTCGGTTTAAAAGTGACAAATTCAGTGCACATAATAATAATAAATTAGTTTCCCGACGTAGCTGAAGATTTGTCGTGCACACGAGTTAATTGCATTGTCGCAAAGGTACGGGATTGTTTTGTTTTGGGGAAATTTAGGCGCATAGACGACCCGTATAAGTTAGTTACGTCTATCAAGCTCAGCTAGTAAACTTCATAATTGTAGAAATCGTTTCAGTGATTGGCGGAAACGAAAGTGTTGAAAACTCACAATAAGCTCCCTTCCATTCAACTAGTACACAACGTTAATAAAAAGAAAATAAAAAGATAATTACAATTTTTAATAATGGAATGCGTTACGTGCTGGTGAAGTTTGAACAAAGGACGCGCACTCACTCGCGGAGTTTCCCACACGGTGCGTTTTCCGCAGATAACTAGGATCCTGAAACGATGCTAGCCATATTTTCCGAGGACTTTCGGAATCAGAGCATGCGCCACTACTATAATATGCAGCGTTCTTTATGTGCTCTTGTTCATGTTGTTTACCAATTTTCGCACAAATTTAGTTCTGAACGGGTCGACACTTTTTATTCATTTCAGCTCAAACTTCCTCGAAAAAAAAATGCAATTATAAAATGTTTCTCGCGTTACAACACGCGATCATATTTCAATTGCATACTAATTAGAATCGCCGCAATGCGAGTTATTTTGTAAAACAAACGTTATGCTGTAGTGATAAGAATTTTTTCCATTTTCCTTTTCGTACATCCAATCCGTTATTTAGACTATTCCGATATAAATTAATGACGTGAACCTAATTTATATTCGGGTTACCGTTTTCCAAAGGTCGGCTTTTATCCACCTTTTCGGACGCAATAGATTAGTCTTGGTCAAATCTGACTGTTACGTTATTCGCCTGACACCGGATTAAATAAATTTTAGTTTGACGTTTTTATCTCTTCTCCTCTCTCTTTTCGACAATCTCTATGCGGAAAAAATATACGCAGAAATCCTATGTGTATTTTATACGATCTAGACTAAGCAACCTCTTCGTAAAGCTGTCAATGTATGAGAATAGGGTTCAAAATAAAATTAGGGGAACGTACCAAACCGCAGAAGTTCTTCGCCGTTCAAATGCGGAATGACGATACGGTAAAACTCGGAATGAAATGAAACAGCAGCAATTAAAAGTTATTAGAGTCGTTAAAGAACTTATTGGACAAGGATAAATAAACGTTGAGATTGGGATTACAACTTGATTCCGCCTCTTGATGAGCCTAACGTACCGATTTCCGACTGTGTAGCTCAGTGGTAGAGCGTTGAGCTACATAGCCGAGAGGTCGGGTGTTCGAACCCGGGCTGAGGTAAGAATTTTTCATCTGTGGCAGAGATGGGAATTTCTTTGCCGGCTACTCCGAATTAGGTTTTCCTAATTCGTAAAGTAAATACCGGAGTAGTATAGAACAACTTAAGACCTTCTCCAGGGGTGTCTCTAAAAAGCATTATGAGGGTCACTCTGTAATTGGGCGAAAGCCTGTTTAAGGCCCAGAACAAGAGAGGGACAATAAATAAATGAATTAGTCCAAAAAGAGCAGATGCAACAAGAGCAAACACTGCGGTACCTTTACGCTCTTTGATTCGCCCACCCTCCCGTTATCGCGAGTAGTCGACGGGGGGAGTGTCACAGAAAAAAGATGACAGTGACATTTTGGAAAAAAGCACGATTGACGTTAAAATGAAGTTTCGGTTGATTAATAGTTTTTGGTTATAATTACGCGTATAATTTTTTCGAGCTGCTGGGGAAGTTACCGCTTTCTCGGCAGTTTGGGCTCCCCTATAAGCCCAATGTTGGGTAGGTAATAGCCAGAGACTTGCTATAACTAGACTGAGCTTAACGTATCTAAGGTGTTGTCGACACAGTATGCAACACACAATGCACGGCGGGGCAAAAATCGCAAAGATGGTGTGCAATATAATGAAATAAGCTCTTATTTTAGATGTTCCGTTCATTAATCATTCTCGTGATTAGCACGAATTAGTAAACAGATAAATTTCTGTTGAGAATAAACCAACAAACTTGTGCGTATCAACATGTACTCTCTAGATACAATTTTAAACAATATGCAGATTTCCAACGGATAAAAGTTTAAAGGGCCAATGGATCAGAGCCACTTGAAGAGAAAAATGTACTCCCACCATAGTGCATTTGCGGGGAGTGAAGCCTATTTTAGAAAGGTACCGCCGAAGGTGTTAAACAGTGATGCAATACCGAGCGTTTCCGACTTTCCCATTCACTTAAAATAACGTAGAACTATTATTCGACATCCTTTACCAGCAAGATAGCGGCAGTACCTATTTGCCTATTAGGTATAGACGTAACTAAGTTCTTACTGGTACTAAGTATATTTCAGGTTTTTTTACAAGAAAAATAGTAAAACAGTTACAGCCCATTTGGGTCTTTGGATAGGCATATATTGAATCAAAATCCGCTAAATAATGATATCTTACTACTTACATCTTTAGTTTTAAGAGTATATTTTCCCATGCGTGTTCACCACCAAATTACACATATAAATCGAATTAGGACTAGAGTAAGGCAGTTTAGATCAAATAAAATACCAATAAATTCTAAATGTTATCTTTGTTTGCTACTAAAATTTAGAATAAACCTTCCTTTTTTACCAAAAATCGACTGCACCAAAATTTTTCGGGAAAACACTTTTTCTTACTAATTTTGGGGCGTAGAATCCAAAACAATTCGTACTTTTTCGATCGGACTTCTCAATCAAAAGTTATGGACTAGAAACCAATTTCGAAGGAAAATTCAAAGGGCTGTAACTTTTGAACTAGTAGCCCAATCTTGGAACTGTTTGAAATTATGGATTCGACAGGCCACATTCTATAAGAACATTTTTTTTCCGGATCGATCAGAGACAATTTTTTTTTTATTATACCTGAATCACAATCTCCGTTTTAAACACTCAAATGCGTGCGAAAAAGGGCCTTTAAAACACACGTGCTTTAAAGTTGCTAAGTTGCTAAGTAACGATACTTCAAGTATGACTTTTGAAACTGTCATCTGGATGAAATAAAAAAATCCTCTTAGGTCGCTTTCTGTAAATGCAGAACATCTCTTTGGCTTTTGTACCTATCCTTTGGTTGAAGCTTTCACAAACGCGCGTAATTTAGGGTATGCTTCCAAATTTGTTCCACTTTTTAATTGCAGCATTGCTTTAAAGTTTTGAATGAATGCACCAAAATATAGAAGATTTAAATACCTTTGACATTTCCTTCATATATGCCAGCATTATGGATGCATTTAAAACTGTATTCGTAGGTAACTTCCTATTCATCCATGGAAAGAACTTTTCATATTCTTTATAATAGGCTTTACTGGAGTTGGATTTTACACCTATACCAACGTTTGTTTAGATTTTAAAACAATCGATTGAATGGACGGTGTATTATCTTTTTCAACGGAAACCGTTTAATTGTCAAAGACGATGATTTTTATAAGCAAACGTCAAGTGACATTTCCATGGCAATCGTGAAATTACGAACACCAAGCCCACTTAATTAGACATGTATTCGAGTATAACGTCAATATGACTTCATTGTATTTCCTATTTTTAAATTATACTGCAGGTATAATAAAAAATACTATAAGATACACGTGTATAATTGATCTTTAAAGCACTTGCAACGTTAAAGGCACTCGCCGCTTTGCGTCGTGCCCTTAAACTCGTTGCGCGTGCTTTAAAGACTTGATTATACACTTGTATCTTAATATACTATTTCGTGGCTCAAAAAAAGGCAATGTATAATGTACTTTTTCGATCAGACTTCTCAATCAAAAGTAAAGACTGAAAAGAACCGAAGTAAATAATAGTTTCCATTTCTGAAGGAATAACGGTTTCGGTCCAGTTTTCGGTTATTTTTCGGTTCGGTCCAGGTCCGTGCGTAGCCGAGAACAACACATGTCGCGTGTAATTCGAGGAGGAAGAGGCAGCGGAACACATCATCTGCTGGTGTGAGGCTGTCACTCTACAGCGACTACAGAGATTACAAGACCTGGGCGAGGCTGCCACAGCACCTCAGCAGATCAGGGAGTTTCAGCCAGAAAGAATCCTCAGATTTTTTAACAAAGTGCCTCTCTCGAAGTAAGCTACTGGGGCACGCACAATAGGTCAAAGAGTAGGCGTGATATTCCAAGAGGGAAAAAATTTGATGTAGGTAGATTGGATGTGCACAAAAACTCCAAGTACAGGTAATAAAAGGCATAACGTACTTATTAAAATCGAAACGCTTAAATCTGTATCCCTATCACTAACCCCGTACGAAATTTATTGTAATAGGGACCTTTAAGCAAACATTTAGTATGATTAAATGCTTTGAGGTTGCAATTAATCTCTCCTGGTAGTTAGTTTAATAAATTCATACTTATATACCAACTTTGCGAATGGAAATCCTATAACCTCTTGTAAACTGAGAAAAGCACGTAAATTGATTTAGAAGCTTTTAAAAAGAAATGCATAAGGTGCAAACTTTCGCTACATTGACCTACTATTAAAATGAACAGAATCCGTTTCACCTCAACTCGATGCATTAGCTAACGAAGTGAATGAAAACCATATTTCTGCAAATTAACTCAATTACTCCAAACACAAACGATAAACTGAAAGCAATTTCGTTTAATACGTTTGGTTCGTTTAATTAAAGTAAAACAAATGGAGGAGGGGCGCGATTTCATTTTGTCTTATTCATTTAAATCGTTTAGCTTTTAAGAGAAGACTGTAAAATTAAATAATTGGTGTCTTGATACAGCAATGTATAATCACCAAATTTATGAACACCCTTTCTGAAGAACCGGCCGGCTCAGACGATGGAATTCTCGGTTTTATGCGCCACAGTGGCACTGTTATTTCACATCACGACGTACATGTTCAAACATCCCCGAAATCTCCCCGTTTATGGGATTTAAAGTCACTTTCTTTGCATAAAGCGCACTTTAAATCTAGTTTCAATTTCAATGACACGAAATTCGTATCTAATTATATGGTCAAGTGAAATCTACATTTTAAAGTAAATGAAGTACACGTTTTTGTCGCGGTTTTCTAATTAAACGTCGAATTTTTTCGTTCGTAACAAAGACGCGTATTCAATTAACTACTCTGTACTTCTTTCTCTTCAAATCCTTTATGCAAACCTCTCTAAAAAGGTCTGAAAGTCCTCTGTAAACATCATCGACTAATTAATTTAAGTCACCCTTCGTCAAGACAAAGGGCCACATTTCCGATTGACGTCTCGAACAATTAGTTTAAACAATTTCGGATCGATGGCGTCGCTATTTCGCCTCTACAATATTTCATGAGCTCTATCGCGCGTTGTCTGTTTAGCTTCGCGTTTCAAAATATTAAATAATTGATTG